CCTCCCCTCCTCTTCTATTTATACTATTACATGTACACTTACTATTATTATTATTATTATTTCTATTAATAGCCTACTAAGCTAGATTCCTATCACTACCTTGCCTCTCTTTTTTCTTTTATCATTTATCTTCTTTATCTTTGTATATTCTTATGTTATTTTTATATCATAGCTTTTTTTATGCTCTTTTTTTATCTTCTATCTTTCTTATATTCCTGTGTTATTGTTATCTTATATTTATTTATCTTTATTTTATTAGTTTTATCTTACTTTTTTTCTTCCCTTTCTTGTTCATCTTCTCTGTTTGGCATCGATATCATTGATCGATTCATGTTAGCCGACCCCAAATTCTTTTGGGATTAAGGCTTGGATGTTGTTGTTGTTGTACAGTGAATATAATGCTTTAGAAGATTATACAGATGACTGATGAAGTAGCAAAAGATTTTTCGGACATGATTAACTGCACCTGGAATCCCCACTTAGCTCATCGTGCCATTGTGGCATGATAATTTTACTATCCTTTTTGCGAGTCATAGATGACATGAGAGTCAACGAGAAATAAGATGTTGTTTGTGGATCATATCCTGTTAATCGCGACTAATATAAGGAAGAATTGAATGCTATGTGAAAAATATGGAGACAATGTGCGCAATCTGCATCAATTTAGATAAAGAGAAAAGAGAGAGAAATTTGATTGAAAGGAGCTATAAGTAAGCGCCTATTTCATATATCTGGAATCTATTATACAGATAGATGAAGATATAAAAGTACGGGTTGGCTAAAATAGAAAGGACCAATAAGAATGCTATGTGATTGTAAATGTTCAATGTACTGTCAAGTTGATAGGGGAAATTTTATTAGAGTTGCTAGATTCCCTGGATAAAAAAGTTGGGTAATAAATATTAAATAAAGAAAATGAGTCACAAAGATACATATTCAAGAGTGATGTGTGGTAAGAGACAGAGAGAAAGAGTGGGTGTGTCGGATATTGAAGATAAAGAGAGAAAGAGACACGTTGGTTTGGACATCGTCAAGAAGTAAATGTTCGGGTACAGAGTAGTCTTAGAATGTTGAAGACCTGAAGAGAAGTTGTGGTAGGCCAAAAGTGACAGGATGGAAGGGGTAAAAGGGTAGAACATGTGGAGTTGACCCTATTGGTTTGAGATTAAGGCTTGATTGTTGACATTTTTTATAATGAAGTTGCATAAGAAGTATGAGCAAGAAATTTAAAGGCAACCACTGGAAATGATTTGCAGAGTTACAAACCTCTTGAATTAATAGAGAGCTAGATCGTTCAACTGTTGCTTTGTGTCGATACATGAGAGCTATGCAGGTTAAAATAGCACCAATTTTGGGATGTTGATCACCTGTGAGGCCAAATAAAAGTAAATCATAATAGCTAAATAAGATCACTGTGAAAAGAAAAAGTTAAAAGGCGAGGAGATGATCATACCAAGAGTTTGTTCTGCTTTCTTCAGTGCTGCAGTTAACATCTTCTCAGCATTTTCAAAGTTCCTAAAGTTTGATTACTAACCCAAGATTAGAGCGATTAAATTTCACTCAAGAACTGTAAATTATAAGCTTACCCCAACTGAGCCTCTAGCTGTCCTAAAGCACATGTAGCTCCCACTATGGTGTCCTCAAAGTTCATATTACAAGCTGATAACTGATGTAAATTACTAGATTCCTTTCCCAGAAATTCCTCACCAATCACTTTTGTGTACATGTGCTTTGCCATTTCAAAATCCGACTTGTGGTGAAGGAATTCACCATAAGATAGTGCAGCATTGCCAGTGCATTGACCACCCATTACAAAAGAGGAACAGTCCCCATATCGACCTTCCGGGAAGCAAGGCATTGCTGAAATGGAATCCATGTCAAATGAAATTTGGAATGTATGGATCCAATAATGCAAGGAAAGGAAAAAATACACCAAAGGGATGTAATTTTTATATATTTGATTTTACCATGGAAAATACAAAAAGAAAATGAAATGTGATTTATTTCCTGCTATGTTTCCTTTCATATCATTTTCCCTGGTACTTCCCGGATCTGAACAGACTGTGAGAGAAATGAGAAACACTCAAGAAAATAAAGAGGCTAGGAGAACAATATTTCATTAACCTGATTCGGTATTCCCGCGGATCAACTCTACAAGCCCTTTTAATGCTTTAGATTGATCTACCAAGGCCTCAATGCCTTCAGTGCCGATGTCTAACTTAATGGTTTCCAAGAGTTGCAAACACATATCTGCAGTTGCTGCTGCTGCATCATCCTGCAACATGAAAAGAAATACAGAAACATTCATTAAAAATCATAATGCAACTTTTTACTCAACCAAAACCAACCATGTCCAAATGAAGATGAGTAGTTTCACAAGGGGTTTACTTGGCCCAGTTCTAAATGAAGTCCAACAATTGCCTCTGAGGCCGCAACTACAACAATGTCCATAAACTATCAACAGCAGAGTTGTAGACAAGACTAGTATATAACTACAAAATGGACTACGAAGTCCTTAAGTTAACCATACAAAAATAGTAATGATTACCTCTGATAATCATCGAAGATAAGCTTAAATTTTGGATTTTCTGAAGTTTCTCAATTGCTTCTTCATAATTCCCACTGATTTCCCATTAGAAAAGAAGAAGAAACAAGGCATGAAAATGAAGATTTAGTGCAAATTCCATGAACGAAAACGTGAGAATTAACTGAGACGTCTCGTTCACGAATTAGTGTGGAGTGTGGACCTATGATACAGCAATGAAGACATTGCTAATACAACCATTCCTCTAACATTTTCATCAGAGTGAGTAGAGTAGCACTGCTCCAAAACCAACTGGGCTTGAGCATAAGCATCACCTTTAATTAAATAGCAAAAAAACTTCACTATACCATTTCTGTTTTACATTAAAAACTCATTTGAAGAAAAAAAAACATACAGTGTGACGGGATAAATGACCTGATTTCTCAGAACGGGCTAGAGAGAGCGCGTAATTCGTCATCTCAAGGGCGACTGGGTTGATCTTGAAAGAGCTATCTGGGTGGACTTTATTCGAGAAAGCTCTATGAGGTGGTGACGCCGCTGCAGCTGGAAGGCGGAGTAAAGCTAGTAGTGTAGATCCACGGCATTTTGCTCTGAAGAGCTTATCCCCGATCCTAATCATCAAGCTGCTGGCCTGGTAGTTGCTCCCTCCTTCTCCTTCTCGCTTCAGCAGTAAGCTAGGCCAGACTCGAGAGTGAAGAGTAATGATACTGAATTCAAATATTAATCGGTGGATTAAATATAAAAAGTGAAAAAGATTGTTGAAATAAAATTCTTTTTCGGTTAATATTCATTTCGAACTAAATAAGTCAAAATAATTTTTAATTGTTATTCCCTCCATCCTGGTACTAACTTTGGTATTGATTTTATATATACATGAAAAAATGAAAATTGTACCTGAGAGTTAGATAGAGGAGAAACAAATGATATAAAAGAAAAATATCCATTATTTTTGAATGGATGAAAAAGGAATAAAGACAATATGTATATCAATGTTACCAAATGGGATTTTACCTAAACTAATTTGGTTTGAAGGTGCTATAAAATTAGATATTCATATTTTTTGCCAGAATTGACATAATAATCTATACTTTTATACTCCTTCCGTCTCGATCAATTCTTCCAATTTTCCTTTTTGGACCGTTCCAATTAATTCTTCCAACTTCCACTTTTGGAAAAAATATGTGGTTCAGATTCATTCACCTTTTTCTTACACAACTACAATCATACATTTTTACTTTATTCTCACTACCTAAATTTGCGGTACCGGTCAAAATTGGAAGAAATGACCGGGAAGGAGGGAGTACATTTTATAAAAGTCATGTCTACTAGTTCACAAAAATGAACCCATCACTTAATAGTGTTTACTTTCCATCATAATATCAACTCGCTTTATTATGTCCATTCCGTCAATTATTTTGAGTTAGATTTCATGGTACCCATAAGGTACCATACCTTTGTACATGGATCAATGAGAATGTAGCAGTTGAATTACTTAAATCTAAAATAAAAATAATAAAGTAGTGTGGTCCAATCAAATGAATGGTAGGTACGGTACCCCATTTTTTAGAAGGGTGCCGGAGTTGTCACCTTATTTTGATGTGGATTATTAACCTTACAAACTTATATAATTTGATTTCTACCGTTACTCTTCACTCAGAAGTGGGTACAAATCGAGTTGAATCCGGAATCGGAGGAGAGCTCTAAAATAAAACCAAAAGTACTGATTGCACTGCAAAATGAATTAAGAAAACTGTATACACTTTGTGTGTGTTCCATGGCTAACCGGCCTAGAGCTCCCAAATCCCACAAGGCATCATGCATAATCAAGGTTGCTTATACATCAGGGGGATAAAACAATGATGATTTACAAAGTTGCTTTGTTAGAAGGGGAATTATATATGTTACTAGTACTGTAGTACACCCTTGTATAATAGAGAAACCTTATAAAATACGGAGACCTATTCCATTTTCCTGTTTTAGTTATCTCATAATAGAAGGGTAGCCTTGACGCACGGTCTTGTCGTGTGAACGAGAGGTCACAGGTTCAAGTCTAGGGAGTTGGGAGCGACCTCTTGTTAAAATGAAAAGGAAAGACTTATCCCTTATGCACCCGTGGGGTGGGACGACCCTTCCCCGAACTCGGCTAATGTGCACCGGGCTACCTTTTTTGTTACATCTCAGAATGATCTTTTGTAAAGAAAATTTATGGTGGGTATAGTAGAGTGTTTCACTTATTTATGTTCAATCCAAAACCTTAGCCACTCTTTTTTATAAGGGCATGCCGAGTGAATATCACATAGTTCCACAAATCCCCTACAGCAAGCAACGCACAAAGTGAAAAGGGAATAAAGAAAATCAACAGTGCAAAAGAATTGTTGTTCTTCCCGGTTCCAACGGTAGTTTCTGCTTTAATACCTTACATAGGAGTTAAGGAGTTGCATGTCAAGACTCCTGAGCTTTACATATCCTAGATCTTGAATAGTTCCTAGAAGAAGAAGAAGGAAAATGATATATTCCCATTTTATATTCATTTTGTTCAGCATATTGTTCTTTCTTGTTGACACAGGTAAATTTATATTCCTAGCTTTTAACTTGCTATTCAGTAAAGAAGTGACCACATGATCTTAGTTTTGCTTGTTTGATTGTTTTGGCCGGCTAAACAGATGGGATCCAACTCATAATAGTTAACAACTGCAATGAAAGCGTTTGGCCAGGAATTTTGGGGGGAGCAGGACAGCAGACCCCGAAAAAAGGAGGATTCCATCTGCGTAGCGGGGAGGAAGTGGTGGTGGAGATGCCCGAGAAGTGGTCGGGCAGGATATGGGGGCGCCAGAACTGCTCCTTTGACAAGCACGGGGAAGGCTCTTGCCACACAGGCGACTGCAACGGGCAGTTACACTGTGACGGGAAGGGAGGCCTGCCGCCAGCCACAGTGGTTGAAATGACGCTCGGCAGCCACTCCTCCCCCCTGCACTTCTATGACGTCAGCTTAGTGGACGGCTTCAACTTGCCGGTTTCAATGGAGGCAGTTGGGGGAGGGATTGGTTGCGGGGTGGCTTCCTGCGAGGCGGACCTCAACATGTGCTGCCCATCCGCACTGGAAGTGAGGGTGGGAGGGAAGGTGGTTGGGTGCAAGAGCGCCTGTTTGGCAATGCAGTCCCCCAAGTATTGCTGCACTGGGTGGTATTCAAACGCCAAAGCCTGCAAACCCACGCTCTTTGCCCATCTCTTCAAGGCCTTCTGCCCCAGAGCTTATAGCTACGCTTTTGATGATTCCACTAGCCTAAACAAATGCAGGGCTCCTAGATATGTGATTCTCTTCTGTCCTCCCTACCAATGATTTGCCATTTTTACGTACCAATCATTAAGCATTGTTCTCCAACACTGTTTGTCACTATTATCAACCACTAATATAATATAATGCTGCTACATGTAAACAGTTTTAATTTATTACGGAGTAGCTTATAATGTGCAAACATGCCCTCCAAGTAGGGATGGACCGGGCCCAAGTGGTTTTTTTTTTTTGAAAACATGGGCCAGGAACCGGCCCGGGTTGATACCGGGTCCGGTTCGGGTCGGGCTACCCGGCCGGGTAGCGGGCCGGGGCCAGGCTAATTAATTTTTTTTATTAAATATTAAGTTAACATTAGTTGGACATAAAAAAGTTAAAATATACTCCCTCCGGTCCTAAATAAACTTCACACTTTGACTTCACACAAATTGAGGAAATAAATTTGACTTTAATGTAGAGTACACTGTTTGACACTGTTTGACACACTTTTGCACTATTTTGATGTAGATAATTTGCCAAATAAGGAAGGAAGAAGAAGTGTGAAGTTTATTTTGGACCTACCCAAAAAGGAAAGTGTGAAGTTTATTTAGGATCGTAGGGAGTATTTATTTGAAATATGTAGTACAATTGAAAATTGAGAAAAAATAAAACATGAAATACAATTTTTAATAAATAAGAATCAATCAGAATCTCCGCCATCTTCGGTTGTTTCCTCCACATAAAGTGGCAGGTAGGTTCAATGCTGAGTTCTTGATTTCTACGTTGGGCCTTCAACCAATCGTGAAAGCAAATAAGCGTCTCAAGAGAGTTTGCGCTCAATCTTGTTCTATAGTCCGTTAGCACGTTGCCGGCCGCACTAAACTCTTGTTCCACATCAACTATTGATACCGGCATTGCTAGCACTTGCTTAGCCATCTTTGATAAGATCAGGAACGTTCTTTCTTTTTCCTTCCACCACTGAAGTACGTCAAAGTCATCCTCTTCTTCATACTAAACAGAAAATGTTAGATACAAAGAAAGCTCGTTAATCGAGCTTTGTTCATTAACCGGAGTTGATTTACTTTTTTCATAAGATTGCCAAATGCAGATTTCAAAATTGTTTTTCCTTTAGATGAAGAAGAAGTTCGTTACGGGGGAGGGGGTGCACTACCATATTGTGCATGAAACTCATTACATAATTGTTAAAATAAATTACTAACCTCTTGGAATTCTTGTTTAGGGTCTATGGCCTTGTCGTTGTACATAGGCAATGGACCAAAAAAAGAAGCATAATAGTAATCTAAACATTTCCCCAAATAATCAAGTCTAAAACGAGGATCAAGAATATATGTAATACCCTATATATGCGGAATATGTGAATAATATTTTAAAAACTTCTCTTCTATGTAAGAACAAAAATAACTAACGTAATTGGCATCGGAAAATTCACAAAAAGCACCGGCGAGATTAACACGTTCAACATAAAATTGGTTTGCGGTGGGTTTATAAACATGACTAAAAGTTTGAGTTGCATTATTAATAAACACCAAAACATTCACAATTTTTTCGTAAGTGTCGATGTCAGCCGGGTTTATAATATAGTTAGCATATTCTTTTAAAAAAGCATGAAAATGGTTTTTAAATCTAGGGAAAAATAATTCAAATACCCCCAACTTTGAAGGGGTGTGAAGTGAACATCCCAAACTTGAGCATGTAATAAAAATATCTCGAACTTTATATAAAAGTTATGTTACCACCAAGATCATATGATTTTTCTATGACAAATGTAATCGATAATTTAAATACATTCAACATTAATGAGAATGCAATTAACATTCAAGCTCTTAGCTTCTATTTATGGAATAACTAATAATTTATTAGTCTATATATATGTTAATTGTATCCTCACAAATGCTAAATAATTTTGAATTGTGTACTTAAGACCATAAATTACATTTGTCAAAGAAAATCATATGATCGTGGGTGCTAACATAATCTTTTATATAAAGTTCGGGATATTTATATTACATGCGCAAGTTTGGAGTGTTCACCTCACATCTCTTCAAAGTTTAGGGTATTTAAATTATTTTTACCTTAAATCTAATAAGCACCTTAATTAAGTTATAAGTAATATTCCAACGAATAGACAAATCTTTAGGAAAAGCACAATATTTGACACATCTTTCTTTCAAATAATTTCTCCATTGCATCTTAAGTTGATTACTAGCCCAAATAAGTTTAATCTTCCCCTTCACCACCTCCATAGCATCTCCCAACGCCGCTAACCTGTCTTTTACACATAAATTTAAAATATGACATGCACAACGCTGATGAAAAAACCTACCCATCAAAGAAGATGAACCACACAATTCACATAATCTAGGAATAGCAGCAGTATTATTACTAGCATTATCAAAACCAATAGCAAACACCTTATCAATCAAATTATACTCAATTAATATACGCTCAATGAGAATATAAATATTATCACCGGTGTGTCGATCATTAAATTCACGAAAAGCAAGAACACATGTATGCATATACCAATCATTATCAATATAATGTGCAGTCACACCCAAATAATATAAATGATGATGAGTATCTTCCCATATATCACTACATACACTAACATGTCCATCAAAGTTTGCGAAAAACGTTTGTAATTTTTGCTTTTCCAAAACATATTGCCTTATAACTTCTTTTTTAATTGTTTTGCGACTATAGTTTCGAAATTGAGGATTTAAAGTACCTTGAACATATTTTTTTAAAGCAAGACTTTCGGAAAAAATAAAAGGCAAATTTTTCTTCAACAATTAAAAGAGACATACCGGTCAAATGTTTTTCATCATCATAGGAGAAATTACCGAAGGGTTGGCCAGTTCCAAACCTTGAAATTTGTGTTTGCTTTCCCTTGCCTTTGTCCGATTTCGCATATGCCGCCGGGTGCTTGGCCTTAAGATTCCTTGTGGCGCTCCCGTACCCTCCAGAAATTACCAAGTTATACACTTTTGGGCAATGCTTGCAAGTGGCGTACCATATCTCAGTTTCGGGGTCTTTGACTTTTGTAAAATTGGCCTTAAAGACAGATTCAGCTTTCTCACTGCCTTGGGAAGTAGCCACTTCCGTTTGCTCTTCCTCATCGTCCGGTGTGCCATGAACCTCGTCCTCGACCGTTTGCGGATCCCCCTCCTCCGCATCATCATCCTCGAGCTATTCTTCGTCAATGGTTAGCGGGATGTCTTGTTGATGGAAAAAGCGCCCTTGATTGTGTTGCAATAGTTGTTCTACTTGCTCATCAAAATCATCTCGGGTTTGAGATGAAGACTCGGCCCGTCCCTTACCTTTGCGTGAGCTTGGATGATTCCTCGCAATCTCCTTTGTTCGGTTACGGCGGAGGTTACTCATATCTACAGAAGATCTACCACGTTCCATCTTAAAAATATAACAAATATTAAATTCGAAGTACAATTAAACTAGTTAATTCGAAATACAATTAAATTCGAACTATGCAACTACAATGTAATAAAATTAACTAGAATGTAACAATTAAATTCGAACTATGCAACTACAATTTTAAACTACAATTAAAAATCAGAAAATGTAACAATGCAACTAATTAACTAGTAAGTAATAAAATTCGAACTATTTGTTAACAAATAATAAATAAGTAAAAATTTAACAAGTTTAACTACTTTTATTATAAAATTCGAACAACTTTAATATAATTAACAATTAACTAGTTTTATAGGAGATTAATATAATTAACAATTAACTAGTTTTATAGGAGATTAAGAAATGTAACAATTAACTAGTTTTATAGGAGATTAAGAAATGTAACAATCAACTAGTTTTATAGGAGAATAAGAAATGTAACAATTAACTAGTTTAACAATTAAACAATTAATTTTAAATTATTGTCTAACAATTTTTAATGTAACTATTTCCAATAAATAACAACTAACAATTAACTACTTTTATAGCAATGAACTAATACTAAAATGATAAGTGAAACAATTAACTAATTTTATATTCATAAAGAATGTATGAGTGTGTAAACTAAATTAATGGGAGTGTAAGAGTGTATAAACAATTGGATAAGTAGAAAATAAGTGTACAAGTAGATATACTTAATATATATATTTATAAGTAGATAATAAGTAGATTAACTAGTAATATATAATATTATGTTGATAGTATATATAATATAAGTATATTACTATAAGATGAGTAATACACTTATATATAATACTTTAATATATATAAGTATATATTAAAAATATGTAATATGTAAATATAAGTAAATAACAATAATATAATAATTGGATATTATTATAAGTATATAATAAGTAGATAATAAATTTTATAAATATAATTTATGTAGTTGTAAATTTGAGAACATGAAGATGGAGATGATTAGTAGAGAATAGATATTAGAGAGTATGAATATTTGAAGAAATGTGTAGTAAATTGTATAGAAAAAATAGAATATTTATAGATTTTTTGTACCCCAGGGAGCCTCCCAACGGCTATAGAGCCATTTGGGTTTGAATGCAACGGTCTTAAGGCCTTGTTTGGCTGGAAAAGAAAAAAAATAAAAAATTAGCCATTAGGCCCGGACCGGGCCCGAATCGGCCGGGTCAGTTCGCCTTTTTTATGACCCGTGCCCGAACCGCCTTACCCATGGGCGGAGCTAGGGGTGGGCCAACCTAGGCCATGGCCCACCCCAAATTTTAAAAATGGCTTAATTTTTAAGGTAAAAAATTTCGTGTAAATTTTTTTCTAAAAATATTCTTTGTACCGGTCCAGTCCGGCCCAGTGCCCTGGCTCCGCCCCTGGCCTTACCCGAACCGCCCAACCGTCACCCGGGCCGGGCCTGCACAATAGCGGGCCAGGTCGATTCAGGGCCGGGCCGAACCGGTTGGGTCCATCCCTACCTCCAAGCATCCAGTCCATCTGAATGTGAAGAGCTCGTTGCAAAAGAATGGCACTCAACCGCTAAGGTGAGTTGACGTGAATGCATCTTGTCATAGGCATTATCCCCATTTAGGACAGGGACTGGCTGGAATGCTGGATAGCATCCTCACACTGACACACACACACACTGACGAAAAAACAGCCTTATACTGTAGAAGAATCAACCATAGACCATATACTGACGTAGTTCCAGTTCCTCCTAATCATAATACATGAGACTATGAGAGG